GAGGAGGACCCTGCCCCTGGGGTCACCACCAAGGGCTTGGGGCAGTCGGCACTGGTGATAGGGGCCGAGGGCATCTCGTCGTCTGAGATCTCCATGTCTTCACCTGAGGACTGCTGGCAGGAAGAAAAGAGAAGAGAGGCTAGAGTATTTGGGGCCTGGTCCCATCTTCTCAGCCATATGGCCCTGGGCAAGTCACAAGAACCTGTCTCAGGGGGTTATAATGAAGATTTGTGCATTTATTCAACACTCATTCTACACCTACTACATGCCAGTCACTAAGGACAAGATGGGCAGAAATGTGGCTCTCAAGGAACTGATCTTCTAGAAGGTAGAGAGGAGAAGCAGACACAATGTGAACTCTATAGTAAACCCGGAAGGGGGATGGGCATGTCGAGGAAAGAAGATTGTGTCTCCGTTTGTATTCAGAGACAATAATACTAATCGAAGTCATGTGACACTTAATGCCTATGGTACATACTATGAAATAGAAGTTATGGGATTTGGACTGTGGGTGAACAACGTATTTATATACATGCAGGCAGTCCGAAGATTACAACTGAGTTCTGTTCCTAACTCGGCCGTTAAAGTTCAGTTTGTTCATAAATCACAACAGTCAAGTGTTTGTTTTAGTTTATAGCATATAGTGCACCTGAAGTGTATTCAAAAAGATAAAAAACCAGTAAAGAAACACTTCTTTTCTGTGCATCAAGAAACAGTAAGACACACTGAAAACATTTTAAACACAATAATAATTATGTTTAAAAGCAAGAGCATCAGTTTGCCTGAAACACTGCATGAATCTCAAATTTTTAGTATAATAAGCTTTAAGGGGCCCGGATGTATATTCAGTCAGGTGTGCTCAGATAGGTGTTTTTTTATGCATGACTGTGCTTAACACTCTCAGCACTTAACTCTCAGAACCACCCTACGGAGTAGGTGTACTATCTTCATCTTTACGAATGAGGAAATGGGGACACAGACAGCGTAAGTAACCTGCCCGAGACACAAAGAAAGGAGCCTGAGGCAGGAAGTGGGCCCTGAGCCTGCGTACTGTCCCAGCACAAACGGCCTCCAGGAGAAGGTGATGTTCCAGCAGGTGGGCTTAAGGATGTTGACGGTTCAGAAAGATGAGCTACTGTAATCTCCGTTACTACTCCTCACACCTCGTCCTGTGCTGTGCAGGTGGTATGCACCGAGGCAGTGCTACAGTACAGCCTCATGCTACTTTTAATTTCTCTAATCGCCCCCTGTAAAGTGGGCTCCACTATTGCTTTGGATAGTTGAGAAGGCATACACACAGGGGACTGAAGCCCCTGGCCCACGCTACGTGGGCCAGTCAGAAGTGAGGCTGCCTAGCATGGGGACCTGCTGGTGGCATCCTGAGGAGTCTGGTGGCTGCAAAGGGAGGAGTCTGGATGGTTGACACTCGGTTGTAAATGGCTAAGAGTCCACTGTCTTTAGGAGGCAGGTTTTGGGAAGTTGGGTCCAAATAGCCTGCAATTGAAGGTGGGGCTGGAAGCCAGAGATGGAAGAGGGTGGGCAGGGCTAGGGGAGGAGGGTCCACCCTGAGAGCTCTTGAGTTAGAAAAGACTGGAGCCGTGGCTCAGGCCCAGCACCAAAGACTACAGATATGAAGCTATTCCAGGTTGCAGGAGCCAGGGAGCATGGGAGAATTACTGGCTGAGGGGCAGGTCTTTCTGGATTGCAAGGTCAGAGGGCAGACCTGCAGGTGAGGGGGGGGGGGGGAAACAGGGAACAGGAAGCTTCTGCCCTTGTCAGTATCCCTTATACACATGCACACATCCTTCACACATGAGCTCGCATACACACTTGAGAGAAACAAGCATGTGCACACACACACTCATATAAACACACACCCACGCACATATACATACACACCCACACATAATCGTGCATACACACACGTGTGTGCACATGCTCACACACCTCGTATGCACAGGCACGTTCTCTCCCTCCCCTGGGATTCCCAAGCACTGCCTGGGAGCACCATAGAACCACAGACTCAACCTGACGCTCTCAAGAACTCAAGTAGGATCAGTTCTGGACACAGACCACAAAGAGTTAACCCAGCCCTCCACAACCAGCCAATCACAATAAGTCCCGGGCCCCCCGCGGTTCCTGCTCCCTCCCTCAGCCTCACCCTTCCACCAACCAGCTCCGGTTTGGGGACACGGCAAGAACTGGCCTTTCTCAGAGAGCTGAGTACCCACCCTAGTCTGCTCTTCCAGTCAGGACCTTCATTTTAGTTGAGACCGCACTGTGAGGTAGGTATTCTCCAGATATCCCCATTTGTCGGATGGAAAAACTGAGACCCCGAAAGAGGGAAAGTGCCTCCCCCAAAGTTACATAAACAGTAAGCGACAGAGCTGAGGTTCTAGGCTGAAGACTGGAGCCTGATTCTAGCCACCTCCCGTTTGAAACAAGAGAATTATCTCATCTCCCTCCAACCCCCACCCCCATCTTGCTCTTCATGCTATTCTCAGTCTGGGTTCCCCCGGGCAAACCAGAGGTTGTTTTCTGGTCTGCCAGCAGGGGGCGCATGAAGGCCGGTTTGAAGGCTTTCAGAGTCTGAACTCCAGAGGTTGAAGTCATCCCAGATCCCCAGCTCTCTGGGCCTGTCTCCTGTTCCCTTATAAATGACATAGTATTACAGACGCTTTCTGGCTACTCTGGATTCCCCAGCCTTGAACCAGCTAGACAGTATGTTAAAATGTCCCCAGACTCCAGGCAATTTGGAAGGAGGGAAAATGGCAGGGCCGGCAGCCCCTATGTTCTGCACACCTGTCATCATCTCCCCCTGCCTGAGGGCCAGAAGCCATTTCCCTAGAAGTGTAGGGAGGCCCCTTTAGAGTCCCAACCATCTGTGGCTCCTAGTAGGCAGGCCAAGCTCCTCTCTGTTCCTCCCTGAGGCAGCTCTGTAGCCCGAATCAAAGGGCCTGGTATCTCCTCCCCACTGCCCACAGGAACACGCAGCTCTGTCCAGGACCCTCCTCCCCGGCCCTACGGGCTGTTCATGCCCATAGGGCCCACAAGGGCTCTAACTCAAGGCTTCCCAGGAGGACCAGGGTAGGTGACTGGCTCAGAAAGGGAGGAGCCAGAGTCCAGGAGGATGGCCTAACCCCTACCCAAGGGAGTGTGGCATAAGGCAAGGCTCCCAGCCCCTAGGTGGAACCACTGGGAAGCTTGGCAATGAGACCCCAGAGAGTCTACTTGGGGACTGGCGACCTCACCAGCCTCTGGCTGCAGTCCTCTCTGAGTTGGCCCTTATCTCTTTCATCCTACAAGTCCAGTCCGAGTGAGAGATAAGGGATACCCCCCACATACACACAGGATCTGCCAGAGTTTTCCTTCTCCTCAAAGGGGGGACCAGACTCTACAAGCCAGGGCTCCAGTACTCTGGCCAGCTTCCCTCACCTCAACTGCTTACACTTCAGGATCAAGCCTGACCAGCCACATGACAACAGACAGGGTCTAGAAAAATCACCAGCAACTAAAACTCTGTGAGGTCTTAGCAAAATCATACCAGAGAAGCTCAAGTCAGAATTTATTCCTGAGAAGTCTTGACTCCTCTTACCTAACAAGAGAAAGAAAACGAAGGCCATGTTCCCTTTTTACCATGGCTACCAGGGATCTCAGGGCCAAACCAGTGGTGCAAACACAGCTGCTAATGCTTTCTGCATTCTTTTACTCACTACATTCTATCTCCTTCCCTAGTCCTGTCGCTTCTGTGCCTTAGCTAGTTATCTCAAAGGTTTCAAAGTGGAAGGAGACACAAGACAAACAAAGCCAAGCCCAGACAGAGATGGACAGACACGGCAGTACCTCATCCATCTTCTCAGAGGTTGGGGTCCTGTCGCTGGTTAGTTCCAAGGCAGTGTCACCTTTCTGGCCCAGAAAACCACAAGGGTCTGGGGGGCCTGGCTCAGGTGGGGGCCGGGACCTCAAGTCCAGTTCATCATCCTCATCTGAGTCAGGTAATGGCGTGGGGCTGATATCTTCCAAGCCGGTGCTGGAGGGTCGTGAGGAGGGTGGTGTGGGGCCACGATAGGAGTTGGTGTTAAAGGGGGCAAGGGGGGACAGCTGGGAGGAGGAGGAGGAGATGGGGCTGCCCTCCATCTGCAGCTCGGTGTCGGAGTCCTGCTCCCGCAGGAAGGGCAGCTTGGTGCGTTGTTCCTTTAGCAGCATCTCAATGCGGGAGTCCAGGCTGTCGTGTGGCTTCTCTGGCCCCGCAGGAGATGACTCCAGTGTGGGCGTACCAGGACTGTCACAGGGTTCCGGGCTCCAGCCGAAGGTTGGCCGGCCCCCCAGCTCCATACTGTTGGTGTCTGGGGGAGGAGGGCCAGGCGGAGTACCTGGCTTCTCCTTGGCCACAGGCTCTGTGGGTGGCAGAGGTGGGGGCACCGGTGCCCTCCGGAACTCCCCACCATCGCGGGCCCCAAAGGTGGCCGCAGCAGTGGGCTCCTCGGGGGGTGGCAGGAAGGGAGGTGTTGGGGTCTGATAGGGAGAGAAAGCTGACTTAAAGGTGACTCCAGGGGTAGGGGCAGGGGTTACTTGAGCAGGCGGAGGAGTGTGGGCAAATGTGGCTGAGTCCTGTGGCTGAGCTTTGTAGGGGCCGCCGCTGCTGCCCCCACTGCTGCCAACTGCCCCGAATGGCAGGTCTGAGGAGCCCCGGAAGGCAGCCACTGCCCCTGCCACCGTAGTAACTGAGGAAGAGTTGTGGACATAGTGATGTTCATGGCGGCGGTTATAAGCGTCCGTGAACTTGCTCTCATGGCGCCTGGCCTTGAATGTCACTGCGGGATCCTGACTGAAGAGGTAGGAGGGTGTGGGTTGGCGGCTGGAATAGCTCGAGTCCTGTGAGAAGGGGGTGCCCAGGCGTGGTGTGAGCGGCGTGCCCTGTCCATAAGAGTTGGGCGTGTCCAGACGACAGCTGGAATAAGCTGTATCCTGGGAGAAGGGTGTCCCTCCGCTGTTGGGGGTGACAGAGGATGAGCCGGAGCCACACCCAGCAGACAGACTACCATCCTTGAGACGTTTCAGGGCATCGGACAGCTGCAGACAGAGAGAGGAGATGTGAGAGCACTGGGGAGAAAAACAAGGACGCTTTCCCTTCGATTTCTGGCTGCAAAGCTCAGAGCCAAAGCGACAGCTCTCCAACTGCAGCATGGGAGAAGGAAGAAGGGGAAAGTGAGGAGGGTGTACGACGATGGCAAGGAGCCCTAGTGCTGTTACAGTGGCTAAGGATTCAGCTGCTAACCAAAAGGTGGGCAGTTCAAATTCACCAGCCACTCTGCATGAGTAAGTTTGCTTCTAAAAAGCTGCCAGCTTCGGAAAGCCTGTGGGGAAGTTGGACTCAGTCCTACAAAGCTACTGTGAGTAGGCACCAATTTGACAATGGGTTTGAGGATGGAATCAAGATGGTCCTAACCTTCTTCTAATCTTGGGGTAACCAATTATCCTTGTTGTTAAGTGCCGTTGAGTCAATTCCGACCCATAGTGGAATTATCCTTAGAGAACCTTTAAGTTTTTTCATCCCAAAGACAGAAAAAAAGAGATCCTGATGTTTTGGTTTAGCTGGGATTTTCTGTCAGTCGTACACTGTCAGAAATCCAGGCCCTTTCAAACAGGGTAGCGGGAAGAACTATGGTCTTGAGAGTAAGGGGGTGACCAAGGGTCCTCCCCATCTACCCCAGAGTCTTAGGTTTTAAATCAGGTGCCTAATGAACAACCCAGCTGGACAGCAAGCAAGCAAGGACTGTTCATTCTGAAAACTACTCCTGAGGGTGGCTGGATCGAGGGGGCTGGGATAAGAAGCTCTCCTGAGGGGGCCATCCAGGTGCATGCCCTGCGAGGTAACAGTTGAGGTAGGCATCACTGTTGCTCTGAAGAGGGGAGCCTAAACAAGGTGGAAAAGCAGCCCCAGGTGGGAGTCTAGGTCTGTGCTGGAGGAGAGCTGGAGGGAGGGACTTGGTGCATCTGAAAGCCACAGGGAGCAGGAACCACACTAGGGGAGCCACACTGAAGGGGATGTTGGGAAAACAATGGACCCCCCCCACCCCTCCCAAACAGGCTTGGCTCCCTTTCTAGCCTTCCATATTGTAGATAGTGAAGGGCAGGTGGAAATTAGGGCAGGGTGGCATTGGGGAGCTGGTAATGCTGGACTAGGAAAGCCCACCTGCAGGGTCTCATTGACGATTGGAGAGATGGCGTCCAGCTCACCCACCGGGAGGGTCTGCGGTGTATAACGGCCTGTGACCAACAGCTCATAGAACCGCATGCGGGTTTCCCCTGGGGGAGTACAGAAGGTGGGTCAGGAAAGTTGCAGGATGGGGCCCCCAGTGACACTCATCTGCTTGGCATCGGGTATCCCAGAGACCACAAGGCCTAGGGCACTAACTGTGTGGTCTAGCTCTGATCTGACCCCCTACCTGTGCCTCTACCTTTCTCTGTTCAGTGAAAGTGCTCAGCAGTCTTTACCACCTCCATGACCAGAAACACCAGCCTCCACCATAAAGCCCCTCCTCAGTGCCCGGGCCATGGTACCCACCGAAAGAGGCAGGGCGCCCCTTCCTTTTGCCTTCCTGCTGGTAGCAATGAAAAGGGAAGCTAGGTGGCACAGAGGGAACAGTTTGCCAACCTAGCTGGGGCAGCAGAGTTGGCAAAACATACTCTAACACCACATGACTAAACCCCAAAAGTCTCTGGCCAAGTGGGGAACCCAGGGGGTCTCCAACTTTGCCTAAGGCCTGGGATGCTGCCCCCTACTGTAACCTCAGCCAAGAGGAAGGGGGGCTGTTATCTGTATTTATAGAGTCTCCTTGGCAGCTGCTTACATATGCAAAAGAGCCACATTCCTAGAGCTACACTTTACTGATCTCTTTCTTTCTTGAAATACAAACTTTGTTGGCAATGTCTGAGGGTCTTTTTTTTTTGGCAGAAATGACATTTTGGTGAGAGCTGACTGTTCTCTAAGCTGTGTGGGTGTGTTAGGGAAGGAGTTCTTGTGATTGGTTCTCCAGGAGCCATCACTGCCCTCCCCCAAGAGGGTACACAGGGTTCAAAGAGTCTGTACCCTCCTCTCAGAGTCAGAGACCAAGGATGCAAGGGGAGTGGTAGAGTGGGACAGGAACTGACTGTGGGCTTGGACCCTGAGGTGATCCAGAACGAGGCACAGGCTTGTGGAGACCAACAACCCAACCTGGTCTGAGACCCAGTCAATTTATATTAATCATCAAAACGGTCTTGGGTGTAGTGAGCCTGGTATCCGCTGAATCCTGAGGCTCACAACCCCCTGAAAGCCATCCACCCAGGACCCCAGGGGACTCAGCAGCTCACAGTTGTCTGCCAGTCACAGGGCTGATCCTCAGAGCAACCAGTACCTCTGTTCCATGCCAGTGAACTCTCTAATCATTACCTCTGGTAGGGACTTCCCTAGAGGGGCCACGTGCAAACTCTGTGAGAAGCCCTGGAGTCCTGAAGACCCCCCGCCCAGTCAGGATCCCAAAGGAATCTCAGGGCCCCTGCAGTGGGAGGTTTGGCCTCCCAAGCCTGTTCTCACCGCAGCACAGGATGCAGTGCTGGGGAAGTGCTACTGTCTCTTTAAGAAAGAGGAGGGAAGACAGTGTCAGCCCTCCAACACCCAGAACAGCCCGCCCTGCTCAGAACATTATCAATGAAACAACACTCCAGGCTCAGGCTGGCTCCTGCTTCCAGGGGTAAGGGGCAGCACGGTGAGGGGTGGTGGTTGGGAACCCCTGGGAACTCCTAAGGCTCCCTTTTGAGTTAAGGGACAGTCTCTTTCTGTGTTTAAAGGGATCCCTAGGCACTCCCTCAGCCCCCCACAAATAAACAACCCCTGCTTCTTTCCCAATGGAGGCAGTAGTCCTGGGACTGTCTAAACTGAGACCATCAGGGCTCAGAGAGGGGGAGCCCTCCGGGGTGCCAGCAATGGGGAAGCCTCCTGGTGGTCCCCAGGGTAGCAGTGGCCAAGGACTGGCACATTTAGTAAATTACAGCCTGTCTCCTAGCAACAGACAACACATTTAGCTCCACGTGACTCCAACCTCAGGAGGGGGCAAATAAATAAAAAATATAAAATCAGGTTGGGGGGCTGGGGAGACAGCACTGCAGAAGGGGAGCAGAGAGGGAAAGTGATCACCCAGACAGGTCGCCTTGGCTCCTCCCCATGGGCAGACCCGGCCCTTACTCACCCTTGGTGTCCAGCTCCACGTGGATAATGTTCCCCATGACAGAAGTACTATGCAAGTGCTGAACGGCCTCCCTGGCACCCCTGACCGTGGCGAAGACCACCTTGGCAATGCCCAAGTGCTTCTTGGTCTTGGGGTTGTACAAGATCTCCACCTCCTCCACCTCCCCATACTTCTTGCACATGTCCCTCAGGAAGTTTTCGCGGATGTTATCATTCAGCTTGGCAAATGTCACCTGCTTCGGAGGTACCGGGCCTACGTAGAACTCATCAATCTAGCAGGGACAAGTGAGTTTGCAGGACATTGAAACAGAAGGGGAAAAAACCCAACCTTCCCCACTCGCCCCGCACGTTGAAAACAATGAAGAATTAAAAAAAAAATAAATAAATATATATATATACACACACACACACATATTTCCCCGGAAAAAAAAAAATACACGCGGGCGGGCCCGGGAAGCGGAGGATTAAATCGTTTGGAACGTGGAAGTCCTCTGGGTTCCGAAGGAAAGCAGAAAAAGAAACAGTTTCTCTTTCCCCACCCCCATTCTGGCCCCTCTCCCCATAGCCCAGCCAGGGGTGACCCCTTGAGCTACGAAGTTGTCTCCCCTGAGTTCCCAGGGAAAGAAGGGGGGCGGGTCCTTGAACAGAGACACTGGGTTTGCAGGAACCTGGTGAGAACCTCGAGCCCCCAGCAGAGCGGGCGGGACACTGTATAGGCACCTGGATTAGTTTCCCCAGTGTTACTCTGTTTACAGTAGCAGAGAGGGGCCCGGACAGCAGTCCCCTCGCCCCACTCAAACTTTCCTGCGGGACGGCGGGAACTCGGAATCTGGCTGGGCACCGTCAGGACTGGCGTTATTTTCGAACTCCGGGAAGGTGGGGAGGGGGAGGAGAAGGAGAGGGGCCGCGGGACGTGGGGGAGGGGTCCTACCTTGAATTTGGGCACCGACAGCTCTAGTTCCTTGTTTTTGGTCCAGATTCCGACCACCCGGGGATCCTCGACAATTTCCACCGGGCGATTGCTGGACATCTGTGAGGAGGGATGGGGGAACCCGGAATGGGAGGGCTGGTTCCACTGCCCAGGGTCGGAGGCCAGACCCCCTGCTCCAGGCACTTGTCAAACTCCGGGGCCAGGGAACCGGCTGACAGTTGGCCCCGTGGTCAGGAGAGGGAATCCCTGGGCCGCTCGGGCCCATGTCCCCGGGCCTGGCTGCGGTCGGGGTGGCGGGGAGGCGCGCCGGCTACTCACCGCCAGACTGAAATGCTGCCCATCGTAGCGGTACAGTTTATGATGCCCCTTCTTCAAAGCTGGGTCAATCATCAACTTGTAACTTCTCCAATGGTGGTTCCTCCTCTCGCCCGAAGGGCCGGGCTGCGGCGGGGGCTGCTGGTGGTGGTGGTGGGGGGGGTGACTGTTCTCCATGCCGTTAACCCAACCTGAAAACCAGCAAGTTGTTGTCGTCTCTGCCGCGCCGGCGGCGGCCGCTCCTCCACACACGCGAAATAATCCAATCGTCCAGCCCCCACCCCCTCCCACCTTACCAGCGCGCCCCGAAAGGCGCTGTCTCGCTGGCTTCCCCCAAAATAACAACGAAGACCTCGAATAAGCCTTCCGGGAGAATTAAGCGCCCGCCCGCTCGGCCACCGTCTCCGGGGGGCAGAGAGGGGGTCCCGGGGGCCCCCAGTGCGGGATGGCGGGGCCGGGGGCGCCCGGAGG